GGGCTCAACTGCCCCAACTCCCACCCAGGGACCAGGGCTAACTCCCTGCTCAGCGGTCCAGCACATCACTGCTTCTCAAGTCGGACCCCATCACAGCACAGGCACCACCATTCTCTACTGAAAAGGCTTTCCTTTGGGACTGGGATTCAGTACAGTTGTTAAGACCCCATTTGGATTTGAACCCTGCCTGCATTTCTGACTCCAGCTTCCAGATCTGGATGGAATTCCCGGCTCCTGGTCCGGTCCCAGCTATGGTAGACATTTAAGGAATGAAGCAGCAGAAGAAAACCCTCTAACTTCAGTCCTCCTACCTTTCTTTTTAAAAGTATTTACTTATTTTATTTGGTAGTCAGAGTGATAGAGGAGAGACAAAGAGAAAGAGATCTTTTATCTTCTATCTGTTGGTTCACATCATGGCCACAATAGCTAGAGCCGAGTGGTCCAAAGGCTCTCCCATGTAGGTACAGGGGTCCAAGGACTGCAGCCGTTCTCTGCTGCATTCTCAGACCACCAGCAGGGAGCTGGATCTAAAGTGAGACAGCCGGGGACTGGCGCCGTGGCCTAATGGCTAAAGACCTTGCCTTGAACGCCCTGGGATCCCATATGGGTGCCAGTTCTAATCCCGGCAGCTCCACTTCCCATCCAGCTCCCTGCTTGTGGCCTGGGAAGGCAGTTGAGGACTTTAGCCATTAAGCTTCCTCGCCAACTGGACAATTCCTTCCTGTGAAGCACTGTCCTAAGAGAAACACCACACAAAGCATTATTAACTGCCAAAAAATACTCCCCAGATTCCCAAATCATCCCCTAGGGGGCAGTGCATCCTCCTGATAAGAACTGATTAAGAGAAATGAGTCCTGGGGCCCTCCTTGAGGGAATTTAGTTTCACTTTGGTATACCCACATCTGCTTACTGTTGTACCCTAATGTGGGCCTGTTGACACTTCTTTTCTTCTAGGTTCAAATATCAGTCCTTACACTTCAAGTTGTGAGTCACATTTCTCCATTTCACTTCAATACATTTAATTCCAGAGAACATGGCCACATGGATGAAGAGGACAAGGCATTCACAGTTCTGGGAAACATCTACTAGAACAGGCAGGTAAGGCAGGATCTGCTTCTCCCCACCAAGAGTAAGAGACCAGAGAGGGTCCAGATCTGCCCGACCTGAGGGGCCGTGTAGATGTGTCTGAGCCCAGGAATCTCTACTCATTCTGCCCTCGAAGTTAGTTTGGATGTTGGACAACTTAGGTTGGACAATCAGTGTGGCTGGCTGCCCTTCGCTTATCCAGGCTCAGTGTTGCTGTCGCTCTCATTAACTGATGATTTTATTCAAGAGACAGGGCTACATTGACAATGGAGGAGAAACAGAGAGAAGAAAAAAAAAAATCATTCCATCTGTTGGTTCAGTTCTCAAACAGCTACATTAGAACAGCTGAATACGATAAAACAGCTGAAGCCAGGAGACTGACCTTTCAGCTTACCCTCTCACAGGGTGACAGGGGCTCAAGTACCTGAACCATCATGGTCTGCGTTCCAAGGCACATGAGCAGGGAGCTGCATCGGGAGTGGAGCAGCCAGGATTCACACTGGTACTCATAGGAACCCTTGATTTACAGCTGGTTGGAAGAAGTTCAAGCTGCAAGCTAGGACTTGCAGCTGACATTAATGCCAGAGAGTGTCATGATGGAAAGATGGAAAACTGCTTAATATGAAGAGAAAAGCCACACATTTGGTGTCCAGAGGTGTTAAATATAAGAAAAACATAAGTTATTTTTCTGTTTGTTATGGTTATCTCTTTTGTTAGGGAATTTACAGCAGTTTTCACTTACAATTGTGGCTGCATGAAACAACGCATTCAACAATAATTCGTCAGTGATTATGACGCAAGGGTCATTTCTCCAGCAGCAGGTACAAGGACAGGAAGGAGAAGCAGGATTTGACAGTCTCAAGGAGAAGATTCTAAGTCAAGCCCAGTGTCCCAAGGAACAGTTACAAGGACGCTAGAGACAAGGCTCAATTTGAGTGCCTAAGGTAGGAAGATGGATAAGCACCCTAAGAGAGAAAAAAAAAAAAATTATGTTCAGTGCAAAATTTTATTATTTTTATTGAACCAACTACCATTGGTTCAGTAAAAGATGCCTAAACCTTCTTGGTCAGTGTTACCTATCCCAAAGCAATGGCCCTGCCTCTGCTACCATGCCCCTTATTAAAAATACTTGTGAGGACAAGCATACTCCTTTTGGTGAGGGAAAAATGATTTCCATATTATGTTCAGTGCAAAGCTCTGATCAATGTGGCAAACACCGGGTCACCAGCTCTCCTCCAGGCAGCAGTGTCTCCGTGAGGGGCTGCTGGCAGGGAATTCCACCACTGCCTTAGCACCCGCCAGCTCTCACAAGTCCACCTCCCTGGGAACAGGGAGCCTGCATCACTCAAGTGTCCCTGGGGCAGATCAAGATGCAGCACCAGTCAATCCTCATCTGGCATCCACAGATCAAAGGAACTTGTGATTTACACACCGGACACGTGTCAAGGGTGGCAATGAGGTTCTCCTTGGTCTATGAGGCCTCCATTATGATAATGCTGCCACTGTAAGAGGAATGCTTCCTCCTGTTTGGCATCAAGAGGAGGCTCTTCTTAAGCATCAGCCCTTCCAGTGAGTTACTATTCTGTTCTAGAAGAGCCCTGGGTTTGCTGTATACAAATTCTGTGTTACAGATGGCCTTCCAGGGAAGACATGTCTTAAGGGGAATGCTATTATATTCTTAGAATTGTATTTACAAACTACAATGAATCTATTCTCATTAACATGAGAATTCTGTTGTAGTAATGATCATGCAGGTGCCGCGACCCTGAGAATCTAATATATTAACAAATCCCCTAAACAAACAAAAAGAAGGAAAGGACAAATATTAAGAAGTAAGGGTATTGGGCCCGGTGCGGTGGCGCAAGTGGTTAAAGGTCCTCGCCTTGCACGCCCGGGATCCCATATGGGCGCCGGTTCTAATCCCGGCAGCCCCGCTTCCCTTCCAGCTCCCTGCTTGTGGCCCGGGAAAGCAGTTGAGGACGGCCCAAAGCTTTGGGACCCTGCACCTGCGTGGGAGACCCGGAAGAGGCTCCTGGCTTCGGATCGGCATAGTATCGACCCGTTGCGCTCACTTGGGGAGTGAATCATCGGATGGAAGCTCTTCCTCTCTGTCTCTCCTCTCTGTACATCTGCCTTTTTCCATATTTTTCCAATGGAAAAATAATAAAAATAAATCTTTAAAAAAAAAAAGAAGTAAGGGTATTGAACTGAGGTTATGCAGCAAGGTGGAGGAATCCACTATGGGGGGAGGGGTGTGGGAGGGGTGGGAGGAAATCCCCAGTGCCTATAAAACTGTATCGCATAAAATAAAATTTAAAAAAAAAAGTAAAAAAAAAAAAAAAAGAAGTAAGGGTAAATCCCAGAGGAAGAAGGTAGAAGAGTGGAAAAGTGGGATGGGAAATATTGTTGAAAGGATATGGAATTCGGGCCCGGCGCGGTGGCGCAAGTGGTTAAAGGTCCTCGCCTTGCACGCCCGGGATCCCATATGGGCGCCGGTTCTAATCCCGGCAGCCCCGCTTCCCTTCCAGCTCCCTGCCTGTGGCCTGGGAAAGCAGTGGAGGACGGCCCAAAGCTTTGGAAACCTGCACCCGTGTGGGAGACCCGGAAGAGGCTCCTGGCTTCGGATCGGCATAGTATCGGCCCGTTGCGCTCACTTGGGGAGTGAATCACCGGACGGAAGATCTTCCTCTTTGTCTCTCCTCTCTGTATATCCGCCTTTCCAATGAAAAAATAATAAAAATAAATCTTTAAAAAAAAAAAAAAAAAAAAAAAAAAAAAAAGGATATGGAATTCTACTTCTACAAGAGGAATAAAGCTATGGAGATAAAAAGTGTTAGCGATTGTAAGCATGAAGAAATTTACTACCATTGAACTATAAACTTAAAAATTGTTATGTGGCAAATTTTGTTAAATATATCTTACTACAACAAAAATTGGAAAAAAGTAAATAGTTAAGATAGGCCATTCTTTGTTCAATCTTCAGCCATTTGGCTTCTAGTTTCAATGTAAAGGGATATTTTCTCAACAATACAAGCTCACTTGAAAGCCATTGATTTATTTAATTCAGGGTTTAAAGTCTTATGTGAGGCAAGCATTGATTATAACAATTAAAGCCACCGGTTGGGACCCCATTTCCCATAATGGAGTGCCTAAGTTTAAGTCCCAGCTCCACCTGGACTCCGGCTTCCTGCTAATGTACAGCTGGCAGCAGGTAACAGCTCAGGTCATCAGGTTCCTGTAGCCTATGGGAGAGATCTGAGATGAGCTCCCAGCTCCCACACAGTTCAGTCCCAGTTTTTGCAAGCATCTGGAGAATGAGCCAGAGGGTAGCAGTGAGTTTTCTTAACTAAATAAATACATATTTTTAAAAATGTTTTCAAAATCTTTAGTTTAACAGTGTGCTGTTCAGTGCCCAGGGTTCTCTTCTCCTTCCCTTAAGTCTGATAAACAGTGGGAGGGGAGAGGAGGATGTGGGAGGAAGCCAAGGCAGAGGGAATTCCAGGGTAGGCATCTGGGGAGAGGGAACAAGGAGGGCAGGTTTGCCTCCACAGGGATCTGTCCCAAGCACACTGTCAGCTGCAAGGAGAAAGGGATGAACACATTTGCAGGTGCACACGGTGGGCGGTGACAGCAGCAGAGAGAGCAAATATGGGTGACAACTCAAGGTGAGAGCAAGGTCAGAAGAAGGAAGGAAGGCTTAGTTCTGAAAACTGCTCAGGCGTGGCTCATTTCCGAGGCAGCCCGATAACCTACACAGTCACTCTATCACCCTCAGGTCATCAACCTTACGTTTGTACTCTTCCCAAAGTGGTGGCAGGTGTGTGTGTGTGTGTGTGTGTGTGTGTGTGTGTGTGTGTGTGCTGGCAGACAAACGTTAGCAGAGGCTGAATGACTTCATTTAAGGTTTCTTTTTATTGTTAACATTATTAGACATGCTAAAATCACAGAGTGGTTATTCCATTTCTGCCCTGACTTCACAGCGGGCAGGTGGGAGCTCTAGGGGTCACTTGGTTTGTGTAGCCTCTGGGAATGGCTGGACTTGGGGAGGGGTTAAAGGTAGGCAGGTTAGCAAAGCCCAAGAACCCTTCAGGTTGTACATTTTGCCCGTAGTAACCTGTGGCTTCAGAGATCTCCCCCTTTCTTCATTTTCCTTATTTAAATCTCACCTCCCTGTCTGGGTCCCCTGGAACTTCTATCTGCCCCTATGGTCCTGAGCTAAATTATGAAAAAAACAAAAACAAAACTAAACATAAAAACACCTCCTTTTTTCGGAAACTAATCTACTGAGCATGCACTAATGTGGTTAAGCTGCTTGATTTGGGTCTACTTAGGGGAAAATGGGTGTTCTAGTCACCACTACAACTTTGATCATGGGAAGGAAGTGGGAGGTAGAGGTGTAGAGAAATTTGAAGGAGAAAGAACGTGTTACCTGAAGTGTGACCGTTGTAAGTGGGAGAACAGTGCATAAGCCCCACCTTCAGGCACCCTACACGGAAGACCCTTCCCTCCTTCCCATCTGGTCAGGGGAGCCCCCTCTCAGCCGCAAAGCCTCTTGTTCTTCAGCCTCACAAGGCAGGAATAGCTACTGATCAAGGACAGCCTTATACCAAGAATCAACTGGTCCACCATTAGGCAAGTCTTCACCTTCCATGCATTCCTCGTGTCTCTGCTGCTGTGATAGCTTGAGGGTGCCAGAGAAAACAATGTTTAAGGATTGAACTTGCCTTACCAAGAGGCTACAGGGACAAAGAAACACAAATACATGGGAGTTAGGGCTGTGGAAAAGAGGGTGAAGGGATCAGGGGGAGAGACAAGGCTGGCCACTTAGGAACTGGGGTCCTTTTTCCTCTTCTGGAATCGCCGGAACTTGCCCTGAATAGCAAGGGCAGCCTTCTCTGTTTCTGGTGCTGTCAGATCAATGTCAATCTCCTCTTCCTCTTCAGCCTTCTTGGCATGACCAGCTTTCCCTGTGGATAGTTGGGAAACTCATTAATCAGTTCAGCTGTCCTGCTCCAGCTCCTTTCTCCAGGTCCCAAATACAGTGGTGAAGGTCCAGTTGAGGCGGGACTCCTTGAACCTCACTAGGAATAAGAATGCTTCATAACACACCTAAAAATGTGAGGCTGGGCGCCTAGGCTGGGGATTAACTAGCTACTCAGGGAGCTTCGTTACCTTGGAACAAAAGACAAATGCCTTCTATCACTTATTCCTAAATACTATAGGCCCTAAGGTAGACTTACATTCCCTAGTCTCCTCCTCCTTCAGATAGAGACAGACGGGATTGTCAAATGGAATTCTTCTTATAGTATCTGTCTTCCCAATCAATTCAGACTCAATTCCCAAAATCAAGGAGTAAATACTGATAGGTTTACATCATTTTTTTCTCATTTTCCCATTTTAAAAAGAGACAATAAATGTACAAAGTAGTACTCACCTAGTCCTTTCCTTCCCTTACCCACATTCTTATTCCTTTCCTATCTATCTTAAGGAGCTTCTAGAGTTACTGTCCTACCCATATTTACAACCGTGCATTCACACTCCTTGCAAGCTCCCCCAGCCAATGTCCCCACTCACCTTTTTCCTCCGGGCCAGATGCCTGGTTGGTCGTTGGGGATGTTTTGGTGTTAAGCTAGGAAGAAAAGAATATTTGACATTCATGGAAGTACTGAAGTGCCACTCCCTCAGGCCCCTCGGACGTTCTCAAGCTCTCCTATGCACATTGCCTTAGTCTCTTGAAGAAGTGAATTTTGAGATCAGGGAGCAGAACAAAGTTATTAGAAGTCATCTGTCAAATAGTTACTGATGCTAGGGAAAGTGTGGAAGACAAGGCAGACAGAGAAATACTGTCCCACTGAATTTAAATTCTAGTAATACACAGACAAAGAAACAAGAGGCCAGCAATGTAGTGCAGTGGGCCAATTGAATTCCTGGCTGTTTCACTTTTTTTTTTTTAAGATTTATTTATTTTTATTGGAAAGGCAGATATACAGAGAGGAGGAGAGACAGAGAGGAAGATCTTCTGTCTGATGGTTCACTCCCCAAGCGGCCACAACAGCTGGAGCTGAGCCAATCCGATGTCAGGAACCAAGAACCTCTTCCGAGTCTCCCACGCAGGTGCAGGGTCCCAAGGCTTTGGGCCACTCGCTGGAATCTCATATGGCTGCCAGTTTGTGTCCCAACAGCCCCATTTCCCATTCATCTCCCTGCTTGTGGCCTGGGAAGGCAGTCCAGGACAGCCCAAGCTTTGGGACCCTGTACACCCATGTGAGAGACCCGGAAGAGGCTTTGGGATCCTGGCTTCAGATTGGCTCAGCTTCGGCCATTGCGCTCACTTGGGGAGTGAATCATTGGACAGAAGATCTTCCTCTCTGTCTCTCCTCCTCTCTGTATATCTGACTTTCCAGTTAAAAAAGAATCTTAAAAGAAATAAAGAAATTCAAGCTAGAGATGGTGATAGCTTGAATCAGCATGGTAATACAGGAGGTGGTTTCAGTAGTGATATTCGGTATATATTTTCAATCTATGACCAATGTGATTTGTTTGGATAAATGATATTGTAAAGAGAGATGTCAAGGATGCTTCCAAGCATTGGCCCGAGAAACTGAATAAATGGAGTTGTCACTTGCTGGGATGGAAAAGACAGAAAGGGGAACAGGTCATAGGAAGAAAACCCAGAGCTTGCTTCTGAACAAGTCTGAGAGACCTATTAATTCTCTAAGATGAAATGACTTAATACACAGTTGGACAGTGAAGATGAGTTAAAGCTACAGTCCAGGGGCATTGGAGAGTTACTGGCACATGGACAGCATATAAAGCCACAAGGCTGAATGAGGTTACTAAGGAACTGCATTCAGAGGACCAAATCCTATGACATTCCAGTAATGAACATTGCAGAGATTAAAAAAACAAAAGAGAGGGCTCAGCACGGTGGCTCAATGGCTAAATCTTCACCTTGCAAGCACTGGGATCCCATATGGGTGCCGGTTCATGCCCCAGCTGCTATACAACAGAGATGGAGGATATCTTAGTTCATTTTCTGTCATTACAACTGAATATTTGAGAACAGGTAATTTTAAAGGAATGAAAAATTATTTAACTAACAGTTCTCGTTTAAGTTAGATAGATAGGGACCTGTATGATGGTTCGACTGGCTAATCTTTCACCTGCACTGACAGTATCCCATATGAGTACAGGTTCATGTCCCAGCTGCTCCACTTCTGATCCAACTTCCTGCTTAATGGCCTGGGAAAGCAATAGAGGCTGGTCTAAAGCCTTGGGTCCCTGCACCCACGTGGGAGATGTACAAGAGGCTTCAGAGCTTTACATCTTTTTAAAAAAGTCATAGCTAGTGAGACACTGTTCTCCTTGATCCAGTGGCTGAAAAAAATTAGATAAGTAGATGTTTAAAACAGAGTGACAGAGAAAAGGAGATATAGAGACAAAGAGATTTTTCCATCTGCTGGTTCACTCGCCAGCCAGATGTGGGCCAGATTGAAGCCAGGAGTAAGGAACTCCATTATAATTTGCTACATGGGTCACAGGGTCCATCCAAGCTCTTGGACCATCATCCACTGCTTTCCCAGGGCATATTAGCAAGGTACCGGATCAGAAGCACAGCAGCCAGCAGCCTGGACTTGAACCAGTGACCATATAGGATGCTGATGTCACAAGATGCAGCTTAGCTCTCTGTACTAGAACACCAGCAGTGGCTCACGGTTCTTGGGGTTCAGAAATCAAGAGCATGGCACCAACACCTGGACACAGGCTTCTTTTTGCAAAATCATAAGCCAAAAACGATCACACGGCCAGATAGCAAGTGTGCTAGCTTTAGTCTCTCTCTTCTAAAGATTTCTTTGTTTTATTTGAATGACAGTTACAGAAACAGAGGAATAAACAAATCTTCCATTCACTGATTCATTCCCTAAATAGTTTCAATAGACAGTGCTGTGCCAAGTCAAAGCCAGTAGTCAGGAAATCCACTAATTTCACCATGTGGGTTGCAGGGATTCAGATTCTTGGGCCATCTTCTGCTTTCTCAGCTACAGTAACAGGGAGTTAGATTCAAAGTGGAGCATCTTGATGCCTGTGTGATGGCTGAACTGGTTAATCCTCTACCTCTAAGTGTGACATACAATACCTTTCCAATAAAAATAAAATAAAGTCTCGGGGCTGGCGCCGTGGCCTAGAGGCTAAAGTCCTCACCTTGAATGCACCGGGATCCCATATGGATGCCGGTTCTAATCCCAGAGTCTCCACTTTCCATCCAGCTCCCTGCCTGTGGCCTGGGAAAGCAGTTGAGGATGGCCCAAAGCTTTGGGACCCTGCACCTGTGTGGGAGACCCGGAAGAAGTTCCTGGATCCTGGCTATCCTGGATCAGCATAGCATCATCCATTGCACTCACTTGGGGAGTGAATCATCGGATGGAAGATCTTCCTCTCTGTCTCTCCTCCTTTCGGTATATCTGACTTTCCAATAAATAAATAAATTTTAAAAAATAAATAAATAAATAAAAATAAAGTCTTGAAAAAGAGAGTGAGACAGAGAGAGAATGAATGAGAAAGAAAGAAAGAAAGAGAGAAAGAAAGAAAGAAAGAAAGAAAGAAAGAAAGAAAGAAAGAAAGAAAGAAAGAAAGAAAGAAAGAAAGAAAGAAAGAAAGAAGCATTTGGGCATTAAAACTGTGCTTATATGGGAGATTGATATTGCAAGCAGTGGCTTAGTCACACACAATGCCAACACCACTCTCTTTTTTTGTTTGTGTTAAACCCCTAATGCCATCACGAGGCACCTACCCTCATGATTTCCTCTAATCCTAATTATCTCCCAAAGACTCCATCTGCACAAACTACCAACAGATGACATTGGGCGTGAAGGCCCGCAGGTGAGTTTGAGAAGACACACCAAAATCATAGCAGATGGAGTGGTATAGCTTTAAGGTGCTATTAGGTCACAAGATTTTACTTAAAGATGACAGACGTGGGCCTGGCATGGTGGTCTAGTGGCTAAAATTCTCACCTTGTACGCACTGAGATCCCATATGGGTGCCGGTTCTAATCCTATCCAGCTCTCCACTTCCCATCGAGCTCCCTGTTTGTGGCCTGGGAAGGCAGTTCAGGACAGCCCAAAACTCTGGGACCCTGCACCAGGGAGGGAGACTTGGAAGAGGTTCCTGGTTCCTGACATCGGATTGGCTCAGCTCCAGCCATTGCAGTCACTTGGGGAGTGAATCATCGGACGGAGGATTTTCCTCTCTGTCTCTCCTCCTCTCTGTATATCTGTCTTTCCAATTAAAATAAATCAATCTTTTCTTCAAAAAAAAAAAGATGATAGATGTCACAAAGTGTTTGTATGCTTATGGAAATGATACAGCAGAGAAGGCAAACTTTCAGGGAAAACAAGCATCACTGCTGGAACAAGAAAGAGGGGATGAGATCCAATGTAACGGTTAGAGGAGCGGCCTGGAAGAGGGGCTGTGTAGCACAAATCAGCCCATGGTTACCGTAGGGAAGGCAGAGCATGAGGCTCCAGATGCAGGCAGCTGGGAACATGTGGAAGACCTGCCATAATTGCTTCTGTCTTTGAAGTAAAATAAGTAACAAGGTCTTTATCCAAGAGAGAGAAGTATTGAGGAAAAGAAGAGGGGAAGGATAGGAAATACTCTTTTGGGGGAGTCCAAGTGAATGCAGTAGGGAGCAGTCCTGTGACAGCCTTCCTAAGCAGAAGGTCATGAATCTGAAATGAGACTCGTCAGCTGATGTAAATTTTTCTTTTCCAGCTTCCCTGCTCAGATGGAAAGTTAAACATAGTAGTAATTCCCCTTCCTCAGAACTCTATTAATAGAGCCACTTCACAGAACATTCATTGGTTTCAAGGCACAATTCATCTTGAGAAAGGATCACTTCTATAGGCTACTTGATGCTCCCAGACTCCACACTTCCCAATGCTTTATACTTGGAAAAATACAGACATGGGCTAATCTTCGGAACAGCTCAAGGAAGTGTACAGTATTGACCTGCATTTTACACATGCAAATCTTTGTGGGAGTGCTGTCAAAAGAACAGCTTCTGCTTTTAAAAGCTGACAGAATTCAGCTTATGTTTTGTTTAAAAAACGATTATTTTTTAAAAATTTGTTTGAAAGGCAAAGTTACAGAGAGGAAAAGCAAGAAACAGAGGGACACCCTCCACTCACTGACTCATTCTCATTTGGTAGCAACAGCTGGAACAGTGTCCAAAGCCAAGAGCCAAGAGTTTCTTCTGGATCTTCAGGTGGGTGCAGGGGCCCAAGAGCTTGAGTCATTCTCTGTTGCTTTCCCAGGCACATTAGCAAGGAGCCAGATTAGAAGTAGAGCAGCTGAGACTCGAACCAGTATCCATATGGGATGCCAGCAATGTAGGCAGTGGCTTTATCTGCTATGCCACAATGCTAGCCCCTCACTTGAAGTACTTTAGATTATACTGTTTTCAACCTTGGTGTTGTTATTGGTTGGTCATTTTTTGATGAGTCATTCCTATGTAGAACTTATTAATGAAATTTTTATCTACTTATTTTATTTGAAAGAGAGACAGAGATAGGATCTTCACTCACTGTTCAATCCCAAAATTCAAGCAACACCTGGGACTCTGGGGCC